GTGGGGGGGGGGTTCAGTTCTGGTCTTACCCCAGCTCCACAGCTTGCCCTCGGTGGTCATGAGGAGACTGTGGGCGGCGCAGGGACCCGACACCACGCAGCTCACCTGGATGTCGTTCAGACAGCCGTACCGGTGCGGACCCCACAGGTTCTGACCCAGGTTACGGAACGCAGCTGGAGACACAAAACAAAACCCATCAAATGTAACTCCTGCAGAGTCCAACAGGTTTATATCACAGTTTGATGAGGATCTTCAGACTGAACGATGCTGCTGCCACATCCRGGACTGAATGAGACCATCAGAAACAGTGTTCTGGTTTCTAACAGAGTTCTGGTTTCTAACAGTGTTCTGGTTTCTCTTGTTTTAAATTAAACYTGCAGCTCTGCTCTCCTGGCAGAGGGGACTTCTTTACTTCTGCTCTCCAAAGCTCTGACACAAAAGGGGGATTGTGTGGTTCTGGTGGGTCCGACATCCCACCCATCTTTAGATGATCTTTGTCTCAGCAGCTGCTCTTTGCCCCCCTCGAACCCCCACTCAAGTCCCAACAAAGCAGGTTTATCAGTGAGTACCAGAGGAGCCCCGGGCATCACAGAGCCACCTGCAGGGTGGGGGGCTGGGTGGTCTCAGCATGAATATGAAAGGACATTACTGTCACAGTCTATTAGCAGGATCCCACCGGCTCTGACACGTATGAAGCCTGAACATGTCAAACAAAGGGACATGTAGCCCCCCCACCCCGACACAAGACAAGAAAAAACAATAAATCCTTTATTGATTGTGTCTGCTTCAACCTGCTGCAGCTTCTTATCTGATCACCACAGAGACGAGGGAGGAAGACCCCCGAAACCCAGAGGCACGACCCCCGAGATGCTTCTTTTGTACAGGGTTCCTACAGTTTAAGACAAGTTAAATTTAAAACTTCTTAATGCCAAGTGAAATCAAATTTAAGACCAACTTTACAATAAACACAAATGACAAAATTAAAACTGTCAGAAACTCATGAATCAAAGTATTTTTGGTTGAATTGTTCAAATATTGCTAATAGACCTATTGTTTTTATTCGTATCGAACTGTTATTTTGTCAAATATAGCTAAAAAACATTCTTAGCAGTAGGGCTGCCACGATTAATCGATTAATTGACGACTAATCGATTATTAAAATAATCGATGACTAATTTAATAATCGATTAATCGTTCCTTTTTTTTTTTGTTCTTTTCTTTGTTTTTCTCTCCAAACTGCTTTGACACCTTCCACTGCCACGTCTGCCTTTCTGTCCTTGACACACATGCACAGTAGTGGTA